AGAGCCCAACACCCCCTCCCTGCCCCCTCCTGTCAGGAGCTGTAGAGAGCGATGAGGTCTCCCCTCAGCCTCCTCTTCTCCAGGCTGAACACCCCCAGCTCCCTCAGCCGCTCCCCACCAGCCCTGTGCTCCAGACCCTTCCCCAGCTCCGTTGCCCTTCTCTGGATGTGCAGAGAAGTCGTGCAGCTGTCTGTAAAGTCAGTTGACAGGCTGAATCTTAACATTCAGCACTGAGAACAGCAGCATTTCTACCATTTGTAACGTCACTGTACATTTCTGTATTCCTCCAGTGATTGGGTTTCCTCACTTAACTGATTGCACCCCTTTTCTCTTGCTTTATTCAGAGAAATCAGTTACATTTTTGTAAGGCTGTTCTTGTAATTGCTGGGGGTTTAGATTTATTCTGCAGTCTCTTACTTAAATTAGAAGCTTACAGACTTTTCATTTGGGATAGGTTTCTGCTTTCTCTTTTATTGTAGAGCCGCCATGGGTGCATTTATACCTACGTTCAGTTGTTTGAATCTTTAGCTAGAAACGTGCGTGTTGAAAATAGGCAATTAGAATGTCCCTCAAAGTTTAAACAAAGTACTGTGCCATATACCATTTTAATGATATGTGTCCTTCAAAGCCTGGCCAAGCAAAACGCCATCTAGTTCTTTTTGAGTTTGTCTCATGTTTTTCTACTCTCTAAACAGCATTCTTTTGGTTTCATTAACAAGATCATCCATCCTTTAGCTACCGCTGCTACAATTTCTCAAGTTTGGGGCTGCTCCCTGAAATTTGTCTCCTGCTTGAGTCTCCTGGATGTGTCGTACATGTTCTGTCCGTCTCATTCGTGGTAGCACAGAGTGACGTTTGGTGGTTCCGTGGCGCTCCTTGGTAGTATTTCTGTGTTGCCAACCCTGCTGGTGATCAGGCAGATCACCCCTGAAAGAAGGAAAGGGCTGATTAGTGTCCTAAGAGCATGATAAATGACTACCTGATTTGCTATTTTTGTATATTCAACAAACATTCCTTGGTAAGTCTCCCTACTGGTGCTAAAGCTAAGGGGCATTTTTTAGTAGTGCTCTCAGAAAGATCTTCTGGTTTGGCTTTAAAAGCAAGACAAAAATGTATCTTAAGTATTTTCCAAACCTTATGGGGTGGTTGTGTATTTTTATATGAGGAAATTCCAATTTGGATTTGCCTGCTGCTCATTCCGGAATGTAAGTGCCAATCTGAGAATTTATGACATCATGCTCAATTAATACGGAAATCAGTATGATGGCACAAACAAGATATTGAATACAATTGGTCACTGAAGTGGCTCTGTTGATATCTGTGGGACTAATTTGCGAATGCTTGTTTAGGAGAGACTGACACAGTATACCTCAAACTTTTACATGTGTCATTTGACATTAATCTCTTCTGTGTTTTAAAATACATAGTGCAAGAAGGGCTGGTTTGTCGGTGCTTCCTGCAAAGAAGAGAACTCCTACAATAGCATACAAAAATTAAAAGAAAAAAAAAAAGAGGAAAAAAAAAGAAAAAAGAAAGAAAAAAAAGAAGAAATTTATCAGATGCTGGTACATGGCACCTAGTAAAAGAATTTTGAATTGTGCCCATTGAAATATGTTTGTAGCTTAAATGTTTGGTAAATAACAGGGATCTTTTTATTCTTTGCCAGCTTCAAGGATTTGTCACTCCTCATTTAGTACTGTTGGTGTGAACAATACAAAAGTTTTGTATAATAAGCATTTTATAATAAGTTAATAACTAACAGAATCTTTATGCAGATATTTCCCTATAGAGACTTTTTTCCTTCAAAACTCCCCACGTGCCAGACCAATACAATGATTTTTAGGCACTGTGCTGTATATAACAAGACAAAACCTATATAAGACTCTCATTTAAAGCCAATGAAAGCTTTAGCTGCACAGTTTATGAGATTAAATCCTTGCAGTAATCCTTGTTAATAAAGGCTTTAGATTTTGACATTAGGCATTAACCCATTTTCATGAAAAAAAGCACTCATACGCTTACGTACAGCACAGGATTCCTCTAAATAGCCCGAGTGAGCAGTTGAAGAGCCATAGTACCTTAACAGCAATATGGTTTAACTTACAGATCCCTTCGGATGCGTACCCATCCCTCGCGTATCTGTAAGCGCGGAAAGGCCGAGCGTGCACAGGCAGAAGGGCCGTTCATCCGCGTGCACGCTCCGTGAAGAAGGTGGCAGTAGCAGAACGGGTAGAGCTTTTACTGGCTGACCAAACTTGCGGTACGGCTAACGGAGAATGAGGAAGCTAGCCCAAAGTAAAACTCCCCCAAA